TTGTGAGTTTTGGATTTTCTCTAGTGGATTCGTTAATTCTGGAGAAAAAAACGATTAATTTCTTGTTCTTTCAAAGAAGAAGAAGATGATTCGCCATGAGAGCTCTGGTCATGTTTCTTCTTACAAAACCCAATAAACAAGAAACAGGGCTTTTCAAGAACAGAACATTCTCTGTTTCGTTTCTCAATCATTTTGTTCGCAGATTCATCAATGTCGGCTCTTTCATCTCGGACTGGACGAGATCGTCAACGTTACGACAGCAACTTCCGTCTCGTTTCTGGGTACACTAAATAAAAAAACCTTTTTTTTTTTTTTGGGGTCTATTCCCAATTTTGAAAATCTTGAAAAAAGAAGCAAAAATCAGAAAGCAAGATTGTTTGATTTGTTAGTGTTACTCTCTACACATTTGAACAGATGCATTCCGTATAGGCTGATTAAAGAGGAGGACACTGAACAAGAAGATTCAAGTGTTGACTTTGTAAACAAACTTCAAGTTCTTATGGTTTCATCTCCTAATCGCCATGATCTTGTCTTCCCTAAGGTTTTTATCATCTCCCTCTTATACTGTTTTTGTTTTGCAATTGCCCATTTTCAAAGACTCATTTGTTTTGTTATCAGGGAGGATGGGAAGATGATGAGACAGTTCTTGAAGCTGCTTCTCGTGAAGCCATGGAAGAAGCAGGAGTTAAAGGAATACTTAGAGTAAGTTTCTCAACTTCTTAACCAAAACATTGAGAAAGTTCGTTTGATTAGAAAGTTCGTTTTTTGTTCATTTGCTTTAGGAAGTGCCTTTAGGAGTTTGGGAATTTAGAAGCAAAAGTAGCTGTGTGGAGGATGAATGTTTTGGTGGATGCAAAGGATATATGTTTGCATTAGAGGTAACCGAAGAACTCGAGGCTTGGCCAGAACGAGAGAACCGCGAGAGGAAATGGGTAAAAACTCAAAATGTGTTTGTTATTAACATCAAGAAAGTATAATGTTAGAATGATCATTAACTTTGCCACTACTCGAAAATGTTCAGTTGAATGTTAAAGAAGCATTGGAGTTGTGTCGGTACGAGTGGATGAAAAGAGCACTTGAAGAGTTTTTGAGAGTAATGGAAGAAGAAACAAGATTGAGAACAGAGGAAGAGACAGTGCATGATTCTTCAAAGCTTGAAGAGTGTCAAATAGATCCATGGTACTGTTTTGTAGTTAATTAGTTTTCATTTTGTTTTTTTTTTAGCTTTTGAATTGAATTGAAGAAGCTTCTTCTTCTACTAATGTAAACAAAGTTGAAACATGAGGAGCAAAGAATCATACACATTTGAATATTTGATTTCAAATATTTTCTTGAACATTGAAATCTTTGTCTGTTTTATGTGATAAAGATAGAATTGTCTCTATATGCAATTTGGACACCAAATGCAAGAAGACAAAAAGACACAAAAGAGAAATTAACTAACCACACACAAATCAATGCTTAAGGATTGACATTAAAAATCCAAATCCCTAAGCATGTGTCACATGTTCTTCTCCCATTGAAAGTTTAGTTAGGTTTCTTGACATTTGCACATTTTTTGTCTCAATCTAAAAACGACGCTGTCCTTGTCACCAGTTGCCTTGGCTCCATACATTCCTCAAAAGCTAGCCTTTTTTTTTTCTTTGCTTCTGTGTAATGTAATGTGACACAAGATGAATGACCTCAGAGACCATGTAGGTCTAAAGTGTGGAAAAAGACTAAGCAAAAGGACAAAAAATGGAGAAAAATATGTAACACTTTTTTGTTCTTACTTGACACAGTTTACGAAGGAGACTTTGGAGTTAAATCTTGTAACTCCCAACTAATTCTTTTAATTTAATGCAAAAAAAAGCCAAAAAACATCAATCAAGTTCACACAATCTTTTCCTCTTCTCACTCTCTCTCTCTATATATATACATAATAGTAAGCCTAAAGATCCTCAAAAGTGACTTAGAGAGAAGCATTGTGAACATGTTGAAATCAAGAAACAAGAGTAAAAGCAAACAAGAGATCAAGAAGTCACAAGAAGTGAAGTACCTTGGAGTGAGGAGGCGTCCATGGGGAAGATATGCAGCTGAAATCAGAAACCCTTTCACGAAAGAAAGACATTGGCTTGGAACATTTGATACAGCCGAAGAAGCTGCTTTCGCATACGATTCTGCTGCTCGATCCATCAATGGTTCTTTAGCTAAAACCAACTTCTTCTACACTGATAACATCTCTTTACACTCATCATTAGACAAAGATTTTGTTAAACCCATTGTGTCTTTAGGACCCGATATGAGTTTGGGATCTTCTAGTTTATGTTTTCTTCAAGATCAGCCATTTCAGAACAACCATTTTGTTTCTGGTCCTGTCTCTTCTTATTTGCTAGAGCAAGAGTCTTCTGCTAATCACCCTAACAGTTTCTCACATTGTTGTAATGATGATCATGTTGGTAAAAGCAGAGAGGTTTCATTGCCTTCTTTGCCCAATGATATGCCAAGCAGTTTATTTGGTCATCAGGACAACAACGGCGAACACTGCTATGCAGACAAGATGCAGATTTATTCGGTTCTCAGCGATGAAGCTCATTGCTCTGAGTATGACTTCCTTTTAAGCGACGTGCCCACTTCTCTTCTCAATGATGTTAATGGAGATCTTCCTCAGGTTAATGGATCCTCTTCTTTCATCTGATTCGCTCCGCTATTATCGCATTTTCAACTCTTTTGCTTCTCCTGTTAGCTATATAAGCAGTTTCAATACCAATTCGACTCTTATGTAATATAAAACATATTGTTAGTTCTTTAGTACCAAAGGCATCCTCCAAAACAGAGTAACATGTTTGAATCAAGCTTATTACTATAAATTATAGAGCACGAATACATAAACTCGGGAACTACAATTATACATTCCGAATCATATAACAGTAAAAAAGAAAAAAATGGAGCAGACATGATCACTTCCAGTTATTGGCAACAATGTCAGCCAAATCAACGACTCTCTGCGAGTAACCCCATTCATTATCATACCAAGCAATCACTTTAACCATATCATCTCCCATAACCATTGTGAGAGAAGAATCAATGGTTGATGATACATCAGAACACCTGAAGTCAACAGAGACAAGTGGCTCATCGCAGACATCGAGTATACCTTTAAGCTCCTTCGCAGCTGCATCTCTGAAAGCAGCATTGACTTCTTCAGCAAATGTCTTCTTGGAGACCTGAACAACTAAGTCAACCACTGAGACGTTTGGAGTTGGCACACGCAACGCGATTCCATTGAGTTTTCCTTTGAGGTTAGGGAGTACTAGAGCCACGGCTTTAGCTGCTCCTGTAGACGTTGGAACGATGTTTAAAGCCGCTGCTCTCGCTCTCCTTAGATCACGGTGACTAGCATCCAACAGCCTTTGGTCACCAGTGTATGAGTGTGTAGTTGTCATAGTACCCTTTATGATCCCTAAAAACATTTTAAAGCTTTTGAGTATTTGTATTTCCAACATTCAATAGGTCAAACAATCCGTGATGCTTACCGAATTTCTGGTCAAGAACCTTGACGAATGGAGCGAGACAGTTAGTAGTACACGACGCGTTGCTGATGATTGTATCACTATGGCTATAAAGCTCAGCATTGACACCAACGACATAAGTCGGGATATCGCCTTTTCCAGGTGCAGTAATCAGAACCTTCTTGGCTCCAGCCTGAAGATGCTTACCAGCACCATCTCTGTCCACAAACACTCCGGTTCCTTCGATAACTAAGTCAATGCCTAATTCCCTAAAACATCGAATAAGATTTAGCCGGTTTGATCAATTCGAAAGATATGGGAAGTGGTTCTTTTTAACTTACCCCCAAGGGAGATTAGATGGGTTACGATCAGATACAATCTTGATGATCTTTCCATCAACAGAGAGAGCAGAGTCACCAGAAGGTTTGACATCAGCGTCGAAGATTCCAAGAGTTGAATCGTATTTGAGGAGATGTGATGCTTGTTTGACACCACCAGTGTCGTTAATGGCAATGACATCAAGAGGAGAATCTTTACGACCATGCCAACATCTCAAGAAGTTCCTACCAATCCTACCAAAACCATTGATAGCTACCTTAATCTTGGCCTCGGTCACTCCTTTCCTGTATCCACCATTGCTTCCCATCTACAACACATAGCAAAACACAACGTACATGGTTCACAAAAC